TTGTCCTTGGTGGATATTTCATCCTCAAACTTAATGCTGTATCATACTTCCCTGCATTGTATATGGATGCTGTATCATACTTCCCTGCATTGTATATGGAAAAACAGAGGGTGCTGCATTTAAAAGGGAAATTGTACACTTTTCTATAGGAGGACTATGAAAAGGCCACTTGGTCTTGGATAATAGCACTCATTGTCTGAAAATTGTGAGCTTGTTTGCTGTAGCTGATGGTGATAGAAGTTCAAGTACAATCACACATGAAAGAATGTGATCTTGCTCAGCAGGAAAACCACAATAATTATCCTAAATTCTGTTCATGTTGAACACAGCAACATGAGAGGCTCAAAGAAGGATATTAAAAGCAAGAGGGATGATAATATTAAATGTGCCTTTATGTTGTAGTTTAAAGCTGCAGTTAATATTACCTAAAGCATATGCCTCCAAATGATAAGTTGTTATTCCTTGTGATCATGGTATACATATTATGAAACTCCATGAAGAATCCTCCTGCAATTTCCAGGTTTTATTCATCTACTGATTACATACAGTAAAGCAAAAATCCATTTCCTGTTCAGAATCTAAGCAGTGTGTGTGTGTGTGTTTGTATCCACATACTAATGCACATACAAAACACACATACCATTAATAATCATGTGAGCTGCTATTATAATCATCTTAACCTAAACTTTGCTCGATAGCAGACATCCTTTCCAATATATTTGGACTTTTCGACTGCAGAACAACGAGGTTGCCACATTTATGCATCATTTTTATAAAATTCAATGTGAAGGTCTCTAAAGCTCTCTGACCCATTGGGCCTTGCCACGGACATGCTAGGTATGAGTTATTAATGCAGTCTCCACAATCAGAATTCTATACAGGTCTGTTTTTTCAGTTCCTTGAGATGTTTCTGATGCCTTCAAATATCAGAATAATTTGGGAGTCTCTATAGAAACCTCTACAGGTTCTGCTTGCATTAGTGTAGCATTCATAACCAGCTGCTCTGTATGCTAAATTCCTGTCTCTGATCATAAGTGCTTTAGACCCAAAGCAATAGCCTGGTTTTATTTTTGATAAGAGAAAATTTCTTCTAATGCATAGCAGTAAATCAGTTTTCTCTTTTATCTATCCTTTCATGCATTTGCTAGTTATGCTGCTTGTACTTGCCTGCTATAGCTTTTAATAAAGGACAAATTCTCCAGGAACAAAGGAAATGGATGTTTTCCCAATGGAAGGCAGCCTGTCTTCAGAGGGTCTTCTCAGATTTTTATTATTACATTTTGTACACTCTTACTATAATACATATTTTGTTTCTGATTCACTTCCTCTAGATGTATCCTGATTCATTTTCAATAGTAGTCATGCTTCAGCCTTTTTCCCTTGGATATTCTTCTTGTGCTCATCCACTTTGTTTTAACCTAACAGGATTCTATTTCATTTCATTTCATTTTTGTTTATATTCAGATTTTTTTTAACTTTATTTCTGTAAAGGTGTATCCTTCACAAAATAAAGCACTTCTGTTCCGGTGGCCAGTCAACCTCAGACAGGAATCTTGAAACCATATTCAGAGAATAGAAAAAAGATACAGGAAAACTTGAGGACAAGAGAGAGAGAGAGAGAGAGAGAGAGAGAGAACTTTTTTCTCTTGCATCCTATTCAAATAATTTATTACAAAGGTGTATAAAGGTTCAGTTCAGATGTTACTGTGGATGGAACTTTATGGATTTTGTGGTCAGCTACATCCCAACGTATTCCTACTGTATCCTCCATCTCCATCCTATTATAAAATAGAAAGTTGCAGAAATCAGAATACGTCATTTTGATATGAAAATCCATTATACAATGTAATCTTTTCCTTTGTATTTTCTATTGCTCTCTAAATACCTGCTATCTGCATCATAGTTATCCAAGAGAAAATACCCCTGAATCTAAGATAAATGAAAAGAAAGGTGACAACAATCAAACAATAATGTTCTGCAAATGCCAATTTCTCCATCTTGCCAACCTTAGACTGGAAACGGCATCTGAAATCTTTCTGAATATCATGTATGTTTATTATTTGTACATGTGTATATACATATATGTGTGGACATATAGATCTGACATAATTGTATCCTAAAAATAAGATTAGGAATGTGTCTTGTATTGCATTAATATCTACTGGCTAAAATTAACTGCATATACGAAGGAAGCCTGTTTATAAAACAAATCATACTCATATCACTCTTTTTATATTAATTTAATTAGCAATTACACTTATTTAGATAAAAATTAATAAAAAAGAAAAGATATAGATAGAAAGGGAAAAAGTATAACAGAGAAAAGAAAAAAGAGAAAAAATGAAGAAATAACTTCCTGCTTGTTATAAGTATAATGTTTTTAAAACAACTTATCACCTTCTCTTTAATAACAAAAAAGTATCTCTTCATTCCAAATCTCATCTCCTCATGTATAAACAACTCTTAGAACTTTGATATTCAATTATAATCAGCAAAAGTCCATTAAGTGTTACCAGAAATAACAAAATATCTTTTTAAACTTAATAAAAAAAACATTTTTATCATCATTTCTTTTCCTTCTGTATCTCACCCCTTACCTGCAAAGAAATCACCAAAACCTCATCATTCAATCATAATCAAAATCCATCAGGTTTTATCAGAAAGAAACACATAACTAGATTAATGTAATCAAATAGATTTAAAATACAAAATATATTAATATCTCTTATCTGAGAACAGACCCTTAAAATCTTTTTGTTCAGTACTGATCAGCCAAAATTCCTTTAATGTTTATAAGAGATAGCAACCCATATACTTTAATCTTGATCAAATAAACCAACTTTATATTCCTTTTCATCATTCCCTAAAATTTTACTCTTTATTCCCCAAATGTTTTCTTTCTTTCTTTCTTTCTTTCTTTCTTTCTTTCTTTCTTTCTTTTTCTTTCTTTTTCCTTCCTTTCCTTTCCTTCTTTCTGTCTTTTTTCCTTCCTTCCTTCCATTCCTTATTTATTTATTATTTATTTATTTTCTTCTCAGAAAAATCTTGAAAACTTTAACTGATCTCTTTCTTAGAGTTTAATTACTTTTCATTTTTGCTCTTGTTAATTTTTAACATATCTATTTTGTACATCCATTATAGGATATCCCTCTTCTGGTTTATTATTAATATGTTCCCTTTAATTGTGGAAGCCTCGGCCAATTTTATTTGTATAGCCAGTTTATCATCTCCTTGCATATCATGTTATTCTTATAACTGCTCAATTTTAAATCCACATTTAAACTAGTTTCAGTTTTATGAAATAAAACTCATTCCTCTTCCACGATTACAATCCATTTAGCTATAATGGCAGATATTTTTAAAATTATTTCTATTGTTCCCTTATGTCCTTAAATACATCCAATGTTAAAATATTGTATTCTATTATTGGCAAGTAATTTATATGTTTCTCCTTTAAACACAATCCTTAGTTCTTTCTTGTTCCCTCTAGTGTCCAAAACTTCAAGACCCATCTTATTATGTTTTTATTTTTACAGTTAAAAAACATTAATATTCCCACAGGAAGTAGACATATAATTAATTTTAAATCAATAATTAAATGATTTAATTATTTAAATATTTAATTATTTAATTTAAATTAATTTTAAATTTTACATCTGTCTGGATCTTTAGACAATTTTAAACTTTCCAAGTTCAATATTCTAATCACTCCTTTTCTGTTTACTCCAAAAAGATTTTTTCTCTGAGCCTTTGAATTTGTATTTTAAAATCCTTTCACTATGGATTGAAGGAGATTCACCCAGTGAATACTGTAAAACTTGCTGTTCCAAGGCTTCTCAATATTTAAAAAACAGTAAAACATTAATTCCAATTATTATTAAGAAATGAGGATCCATTCAACATAAAATCCTTAGAGGCTACATTATGCTTCTGAGCCTGTTGAAATCCCTCAACTCCCAGCTGTTTGACACACAATCAACTACAAGAATGTCAGCTCCTGCCATCTATTCACAAAGAGCAAATGTCCAAAGTACATATGGGTGATCTCAATCTCTCCTTTCTCAGGAGAGATGTCAATGGTTGGATCCAATATCCAGTCACCAATTCAGCCATAATGTTCATCTCATTGTTCAGGGATATGTGTTTATCATGTCTCCACTGGAAATACTCCTTTTTGTTTTATTTTTTAGCCCTGCCAAATGCAAATTTGCACAAGTTTACATATATACATTCCTTCCCCTTCTAACAGAATCAAAATGAAAGAGGAAAGGGTAGAGAAATGAGAAGGGGAGAACAAAACTAGATTAAGAAGGGTAGATATGTTCACACAGAAGAAAAGGGGTATCTTGTTAGATATCATCAAAGGGGTTGGAATTTTAGCTAAGAAGCCCTAGACTGGCAACTATTGATCTATGAACATTTCTAAATTTTGGCCATCTATACCTCTCATCCATTTCCTCATTTTCACAGCATCTTCTAATCTTATGAAACGCCCCTTCTTCGAAATCATAGGTAATTGTTTAGGGAAAAATCTTGCTTCCTTATTAGGTAAATACATGTTAGAGAAGGAGTGACAGAACCTGGGGGGGGGGGAGTCAAAAGAGGAATTAGCCTAAAGTCTCTACATTCCCACAAGCAGTCTAAGTCCAAACCCTCTTAAATTCTCTTAACCCTTACCTAGCATCAAAATAGTGTTGTTAGTTGACTAGATTCCTGTGCTTAGATATGAGCAATAAATCAGTTTAATTGGAAATTAATGTGTTCTTTCGTGCCTGACAATATGATGTCTATTTTTTTTGTATTTTAATACAGAAATATTTTGCAGCCTTCTTATGAGATGTGTCATTTCTCAAGTAAGAACAATGACCATCATTTGCTCACAGCCATGCAATAACTTGTGGTTGCAATAGAGACAGAATCATGATTTCTCAGGAACAAGATGCATGTATAACAAGCATATGGGAAAAGTCTTCAAACTTAATTTCTTTCTCTTGTTACAGAAACGAGTGTGCAAAAACTTGGAGACTGTTCCACAGGCAATCAATCCCTGCCACCCATTAAGCAACTGTTTTATGGATTACTGGGCTGTGAAGCAGAATTTGAAGGAGAATGATCTCACTGAATTGTTCAGTCCTCAGATTATGAAGGAAAAACCAAGTTATACGGTATGTTTTATAAGCTCGGATCCAGGCTATTAGGTTCCCTTTTTTATAACAAAGATGTCAAATAGTGATTATTAGGTTGTTTTGAGAATTCTGTATATATGTGCTTATTAATCAGATATTTACGAATAATGACGCCAAAGCCACTGCCCAGCCGTGTCCAAGATGTATTGCTGGCGAATCTGTAAGTATATTAACCCTCTTACTATGACATAAGATAGGCTTGTTCTTAAATATTAGAGCCATAAAACATAAGGTTAATAAAAAAAACAGCAATTACATTTCTCAGGGATAAAGCATGTAAATAAAAGCAGCAGATTGATTTAGTTTTTTCTTGGTATGCTGGCAGAGTGCAAACTAATATGTTTCCTGCATTAGGTTGAAAATATAGGGAGTGCAGGCTCGTTTTTCAAACACACTCTCTAGAAAGCAGAATTTAGTCACCTAAATTAATCTCAATGCAAGTTAAGGCATGTATTACTCTATTCCTGTTTGGAGACACTTGAGATTTACAAAGAGATTTTAGAAGTATTTCTACAAAATTGAAAGAGGGGAGAATTGCATATTATTCTTTGATATGTTTAACCTAAGACATAACTTAATTCAACTAGATTTCTGTGGTTAAGCAGAGTTGCTTTTAACCCAAGGAAGATGATATTTCTCCAAGCCAAAATTCTTAGTGCAAATTTCCAAATATTTTAGTGAGGCTCTTAATTCCATTCCCAGCTGTGCATTTTTTTTTAAATTTTAAGACTGAATAATTGGCCAGAGCAAAAGTAAGGAAATAAACAATTAAAACAAAGTAAATAAGGGTATGATTTTTAACTTGTTTTCATCAAGCTAGACTAGCCCTTAGAATTGAAATCTCCATTCATATTCTAATACTATGAGAGCCAGTGAAAACAGAGTTATTTATGAACAACTTTGATAAATGGAAAATTAAGTCTGAGTAAATGTTTTATTTTGTTCCTATGTATTATTTGAAGTAGATTCTCCTTCATATATTCCACAGTGATGTTTCTTGAAAAAGGAGGTAATGCTTTTTAACTAAAAGTTGATACATCTTTTATCTTAGGATAAATTGGCTGCATTGTATTTCTAACGTTTATTACCATAAACTTAAGAAACATTGAGAAACTGAAATGATATCTGTTTGCTTAATACTGTAGCTTTAAAGAAGGATTATATGATTTCATGGAACATGTTTTCATAGATAGTAGCCAAGAGAGCTACTACTCTTGTTACCAGCACTGAAAACAGAGTTTGGCTACTTTAGTATTGTCATTTTGTCTCGCTGACTCTTCTTTAAAAGAAAGCTGGACATTGTGCGTTTACCAAAGTCATTATTATGTCATTTAAAAGAAAGAAAAAAATAGTGCAGATTCAATTTAAAAAAACGTAGGCTTTTTGGAAATTGCACTGGGGTTCACACATTGTGCTAAGATTTAATACGACCTATTTGGTTTTGATAGTGAATTATATGGAACCAACCATTGTAGGCTGCAAACTTGCTTTGTACTTCAATGTGGTAAATTAATCCAACCAACTTGGGTTATTTAACAATCCATGCTGGATGTCAGTTCAGCCTTTATCTGGATGAACATGTCCAGCTCTAATTAGTACCTGGCTGTCAGCCACGTGATTCTTTTTCCAGCCTAGTATTTATAACCTCCCAACTTTGACAAAACTGCAAATCTTGCTGTAGTACATTTCTTCTATATCTTTATTGTGATAGAAAATATCTGTATAACAAACCTTGCTTTCAATTAATACAATTTATTTTTCATTACAGGGACATTTTGGCCATATGATGGGCTTATAGAAGATCATTGATACAACAGTCCTCAAACTCATGTATGATAAGCTTTCTCCACTTCTCTTAAAAACTCCTATAGGTGTAAAAAAAATGTAACATTTTTTAAAAGTATTTTCAGTAAATTCCATTTTGGTTTGCTTTTTAATATTCTGTATTATCTATTGTTTAGAAAAAAAGTTCTTCACTTCTAATACATACATATCATGTACTATTAGAAGCATATTTTCTGATTATAAGTTCTTAATTGAATTATTTTCACTCTTTGCATTGAACACCCAAAATGTGTGTTGTTTCTATATGAATTGTGACAGCAAAGGTCAGAATTAAACATATGTTTCAAAATAGAGATCTATTCTCCCAATCTTAAAATAATATGCAAAGGAATTAAATTTTGCTGATTAGCAATATTCTGTGCACTTCCAATATTTGTGCTATTTCCTAATATAATCCCACAAATTCTAGAGTAAGGGGGACTGGAGAACTTTAGAACTCAACCCAGAGAGCAATAAATTGGGAGAGACTCTTGTTGGCTGAATGAATCCTATCTAAGCAATGAAAAAATGAAATTTTAAGATAAGAACTAGTTCCATTTTACATGAAATAAAAAATGAGTCAAATGAATTGCTGCAGTTCTTTGCTTGCAGCTAATAAACCTTATTTTAATCTGCATATTTACTGACTATGCCATAAAATGCATTTGAGGTTGTTTGAATTATTGTAAAATGCAAGATTAAATTAATTACTTTTAAAATAATTTTTAAAAGTTATCCATAATATACATTTTCATGGATTTATTTCTAATTTAACATTACGGCAAGAAGACATAGACCTGCTTCTAATAACAAAGTTTACAGAAGCACTTTATTTGAAAACATTTAGGACCTTTTAAAAATAATATATTTTTATATACTAAATGAATTAACAGAAATGCATAAGTAATGCCAGCACTGTAATGTAATATCAGAATTTAAATAAAAGTTGTGCCATATGATTCTATGCATTTTAGGTGAAATGTTTAGCAACTGAAACCTGGTGAATTAAACTACCTGTGGTTTATTGCTCCTTCTAACTTTGCAGTTCAATCAAATACTTTTTGCTCGTGATTGTCATATAGTTATGAATAAAATATTAAGAATATAATTGAGGAGAGGGAGTAGAATTCAGTTTTATTCTACCACATAACAGCTATAATATGCCTTTGCAATCCAAAGACTGAGATACTTCATTTATTTCTTCAGAATGCTATCAAGAAAGCAGTTTCCAAATCAGCAGCTTGAAGAGACCTAAGACTGCATTCTGATGGACACTTATCTGTGAAAGAGTCTCAGTGAACAAGTGTCAGGGTTCGTCTTCTCTATGTAATACTTTACCTTCAAAGGTGAGGATGGCCTTCACACTTACAACCTTCCAGGAAGTTAGAAAGGCTGTTTTTCATTTGGGGTGATTGATTCCAAAGCTGCTAATTTAGTTTTATCATACAATATTTGTTTATTATTTATATGCATATTCTATAAGTTGCCCAGAGTCTAATTGCATTGAGTTGGTGTGTACATTTAATAAAAAAAATACATTAAGTGTGTTAGGAGACATTTCCTTAAATCTCATAGGATTTTGGCAAGGTGCATCCCATCTCATCAAGCCCATCCGGTATTGGCAAACATTGGCTGTAGTGTGAGACTGTAATATAGAATCCAGCTTTCTGTAGATTCCATCCATGTAATCATTGCCTTTAAATTTAGGGCTGAAGCTTACATGAATCATTCATTAGATTCTATATCTTCTTATTCCAACATAGAAGATAAAACAGAGGTGGCAAAAAGGATGAATCTGTCTTCCTTTATGTCTCACACCATTTACTGGAAAATAAATGTGGAAGTGCCCTTCACAAATCTGAGGTTGTTGTTTGTATGTATATTGGAAGACCAGGCATTCCCACCCTGGCCCCACAAGGGCAAAACAAGTCCCAATACATCACGATACAGCCCGCAATGCAATCAGGATTGACACCCGTGTCCTAGACTTTTATCAGTTATATGTGTGTTTTATCATATACTTTTTAGTATATCCAAGGTTGATTTTGTTCTCTAGGATCAGGTTTCAAGCTCATGCAGACAGTCCTCCACTTATAACCATTTGTTTACTATGTATGATCAAAATTCGGACACTTGGAAACTGGTATATATTTACGATGGTTGCAGTGTCCCGGGATCATGTGATCACCTTTTGCAACCTTCTGATAAGCAAAGTCAATGGAGAAGTGAGACTCATTTAACAACCATATTACTAACTTAAAGCTGCAGTGATTCACTTAACAACTGTCGCAACAAAGGTTGTGAAACGGCAAAATTTAATATCTTGCTTAGCAACTGAAATTTTGGGCTCAGTTGTGATCCTAAGTTGAGGACTATCTGTAAAACATAAACAGGAGCACAATAACAAACCTACATTCATACTGGGGGGGGGGGGGCAGAATAGAGCTTTGAGTTTACCTAACTCAAAAACCTCTATTAATGCTAAAATGGCACATTTGGAAATAATGGATTAATATAAATGCATTTAAAATACTATCCGAAGTCAGGGTCCTTGAGGTTGACAGCAAATGTCCCTGCCTGATTTTATAAATTCCCCAACTTGTTTCATTTGGAGAATTGATTTCAGGACTCCTTGTTCACTTGTATATATAAAACATAAAACTGAATTCAAGCTCCCGAAATTTAATTTCAACATGAGGTATGTGAGCATAATATATAAAGTTTGGGAGGATCTTAGTTACATTATAAAAAGCAACAGATTGTTCTTGATGCTAATAAACTAGTTTTTTTAAAAATAAACTAAGAGGTCCTAAAATATTTATATTGGTAAGTGTTCCATGGGAAAATATAATTTTATATTGTACATCAGACCTTTTAAACCTTACATTGAATAAACATTTGGGGGTTTTGTTCTAAAACTGAGTATAAATTTTATCTCCAAATCAAATTGGACAAAAATATTATAACCACAGAATTGTTTCTAGAAATGTTAACCACTTTTTTATTTTGTGGTAGAATAATTAAAAATATAGATACATTATAACATTTTTGTATACAAAATCTAAGAATGCTACTTTCCTGAATGTATAACAAAGGAATTGATAACAGCAGTTTACATTTTGTTGTATAACTTTAAACTGTGTATTTGGTAAATTATATTTTTTTAAGATGGAGTATTAAATAGTATATTTGCTGTTAAAGCAGACAATTATGTTTTTAAAACACATGTTGATATATAAGAAAAAATTATTTTACTTTTCTAAAATTTATCTTGCAAGTCTGCCAAAATTAATTGTATTTTTTGTTCTCCCTTCATTTATTTCCTCAGAAATGAATAAAATAGAATTTAGAAGACTAGTTTGTTATGTCATTGAGAACTGGGCATTTTTCACATTTGAAAAGTGCACATCATTAAACAGAGTGACTTAATAAGAAAATTCTTATGTGAAATTTCAAATATAAGCTAGCATCAATGGTGGGGTTCAGCCAGTTCGCACCACTTCGGCAGAACCGATAGCTAATTTTTTATTGCCCAGGCCCAGAATGGACTTCCAGAAGCGTCATCCACACAGAGAACCGGTTGTTCACATATTTGAATCCCACCATTGGCTAGCATATGGTAGAGTTGTCACTTCCAGTTTGTCCCATGGTGATGGTGTCCTGTTCTATTACATATGTTGTTTAAATTACTAATTTTGAAATGTTTCTATTATCAATTAGTTTATTTTGAACAAAGATCATGGTTACTTAAATATTTTCATGTATTTATGATCTGATGTAATTCTCATAGGCTGTATATTTTGCAGTCCAGTTTCACATTTTCTCCTACCCCATGAGTATCTGGTAGAGATTGCCATAACAAAGAAGGTGAAAATAGAAACCCTGGCCTTCTATATTTCTGCTATGATGTCAAGCAGAAGTAAATAAATGAAACAATTCTCAACATGAACATGTCATGTTACATGTTCCATTCTTCATCCTTCTCCCATTTGAGATGCCTATACATACGTTCAGAGGAAGATAACATTTCATGCATCCATTGTGGATTGTAATCCACAAAAGCATATATCAAATTAAGGATGGGAGCTTTTAAAGTGCAAAGAGGATGTCTGCATATTCCCAAACTACTTCTTGAACTCTGGTGAAATATAAACCATGAGAGGATTGTTCTCAGGAAAGCTCAGTAGGACAAAAGACCCAGAAAAAATGAGTGAACCCTCCTTCTCTGACATGTGAGCATTCGTCTATAATGTGAAAAATAAAGACATGATGATATAGATATTCTATATTCAGCAACTTGCATTTATTCAAAAAGAAAATAAACATTTCAGGGAAATGTAAAAAAAAAGGCAGATTTCTAAATCTAACTTTACTTGCAAAGAGGTCTGTTCAAAACTCAAAGCTCAAGTTTCATTACAGACCACTTGATTCTCAGACTTCTCCAAGTTTGTTTTCATTTCTCATTTCTTGCTTGCTTGGCTAGACTTTTGCAATCTGCATTCCACAACCTACTTTCTTCAGCAATTGACCTATAGAAGAATCCCTGGAGTTTGTGGTTTGACCTCAAAGCTCTTTCCCCCCACAATTTAAGACCTTGTCTTTTTAGTATTCATTACATTATCATATTCTGAAGTTGCTTGGTAGATCTACTACTTGGTGGTCTTTTTTCTCCTTGTAATATCCCTACCTCTCATTTGTGACTTTTTATAGATAAACATCAACAATGAATGTATTATTTAAACAAGTAGAATGAGGGAGATGTGGTAGCAAGTATCTCAAGTATTGTACTATAACAGATTATATAACAGTAACAAAACAAAATAGCAGTATAACAGAGTTGGAAGGGACCTTGCAGGTCTTCTGGTCCAACCCCTTACTGAAGCAGGAGACCCGATACCATTTCAGACAAATGGTTGCCCAATATCTTTTTTAAAGCCTCCAGTGATGGAGCACCCACAACTTTCCTCCCCTGGAAGGAAGCCATTTCATTGGTTTATTCTTCCAGGCCAGGCAGAAGAGCCAGATCCACATATAAGGGAAAAGGCCTTGACTTTCTTAGCCTGAGGTCCTTCCTTCCGGCCCTAGAAAAGGTCAACCAGAAAAAGATCCTTCCACTTTCATCTGCAAACACCCCCACTCCCCAAATCCTTGCAGATTAAATCCACCAAGGAAAAGCAGTTCAGAGAGCTGGGGGAGAGACTCATAGTCTCTGACTTGTACAGTCCCAATTCTGTTTGGTGCTTCCGCCTGGTACTTTTCCATATATAAATAACTTTCCCCCCAGAATTTTCCCTATATAAATAACTTTTCCATGGATTGAGTACTACATATGTCAGACTATTCTATTCTATTATGCCATAGAGAAATTTAGGCTCTGATCCTACTGTATGCGTACTCACCTGAGAATCTATTTTAACTGAACTCAGCAGGATTTATTTTTGAGTGAAATATATAAGCATACTGCCTTTCTTAGCCCATTATCTTTGATTTAGGAAACATTGCTTGATCCCAATAAGTAAGGTTGGATAGATTAGATAAATGTAGAATAGTCTGAGAGCGTCAATTACCAAAGTAATAAATTGAATGAAGAAGCTGGTATCATATATAATCAAGATACCAGTATCATTCTATCCCATCTATAGATTGATAAGAACCTGGGCAATGATTTCAATAATAGAACAATTTCTGTTCCATCCCTAAGTCTTGTGGTTGGAACGAGAATAATATCCCTCCAGTGATATCATCAGCCTTACCGCTTTTTTCCTTGATGACTAACATTTACAGCATTTATTTATATTCATATTTCACATTTCATTTCTTCATTTTTACCCTTACTGACACTTAACTTTGTGTTAAGCTTTCTTCACTTTTTTTTGTCTACTCCAAAACCATTTTTATTTCCATTAGATCGCTCTGAATTTTCTGTGCCCCATTCAAACGTAACTATTTCTTACTCTTTTTGAACAAATTCTTTACAACTGTCCATTTTCTCTATATACTAATTTCACAATATGTTTTTCTCAACCTCAGTTTGTGCCATAATTACTGGTCTTCGTACATTTTCTCTTCCATAACACCTTTCACTTCATCATTCCAAGCAAGCATCTTTACTTTAGCGTGACTCCACACACTTAAGTGGCATTTTGTAACAAAATTATTTCATGTTAGTCCAACCTATGAATTATGAGTATTTATATACTACCCAGTTCCTATTATCAGTTTATTTTGTGAAGTGCCCATAGCAGTCTAGATGGCGCTAATTCATACCTTTTGACATGCATTTCTGATAAATATCTTTCATTTACCATTGAACTATACTTTCATTTTCATACATGGATTCACGCTTACTGCAAAAGACAGATGATTATCTGGTTCTATTACATATTTGTGATGTTAACATGCTTCCCTTGCCTCCCTTCCTCTCTTAACCCTCCTTCTTTCCTTCACTACCTCATTC